CAATTTTTAAAATATCTTTATTTATTTACTTATTTGTTTTTATGTGGTGCTGAGGATCGAATCCAGGCTCTCACACCTGCAAAGCAAGTGCTCTACCACTTAGCTTCAGTCCCAGCCTCTTTGTGGCAATTTAATAGAACTTAACTACCACAAATAAAGAGAATTGACTGTATATAAAACCTACTACTTTTTAAAATCAATAATCCTTATATTTGTAAATTGTAAGCATTAGTTCTAATTATATTGAGATCATGATCACAAGAAATATATAACTCAGTAGAAAATCAGTGCATACAAGATGAAAACAATTGCTATTTTAGATCAGACAGATGATTCCATATTCCCTAAGTTGGAGGGTTTTTCATAAATAGAGTACTGAAGAAATATAGGTGACATTGACTGATGGCATCTAAATGATCATCTACAACACACTCGAGCATAACATGGTTGTCAGCTTATACTGGTGGACTGCCAGTTTCTTTATGCTTGATGGTTATTCTCTTTAGCAAGCTTGCAATATTATCAGGCCCTCTTCTCTTAGAGAAAATTTTTATAATGGTATTATTTATGTGTGAGGAGATTTCATAATTGAAGACTAGCATGTATGCATTCATATCTGTCAATTTGCTTGAATCCAGCAGCTTAAAAGCATTTTTAATCTCTTATTCACAAATATTGGTTCATATCATTTGAAGTGTTTTAAAATGACAGGTATTGTGTGAGAATGAGAATTACCCATACCTTCTGACATATCATCTATGTTATGATGAAAATTAATATTCAACTTACTCACGTTTTACTTTCTTCAAACCTGAAAGCAAAGATTTGGCATTTACAGAGTAGAGGACAAGAAGACACAAAACCTCATGCAATGACTTTTCTACTCCAAAGTGATTCTGTGCTTGTTAGGATTGTTTGTTTTCCAATACCTTTTTTTCTTGGTATAGAAGATGTACTGTGGGTATTATATAACTATACAGTTAAATGTTTAAAATAAAAATGATACAAGTCTACATTTAGAGGTACTTCAATTTCAAGTGGCTGATTTATTTATCTGGCATATCCTTCTGACTTGGTCCTCTTTGATTCTGTGACCTTCTAATTAAGGTATTATTTATGGTGTATGCTTTCTGCTTTTACAGCAAGCTTCAGATTTTATGCCATTAAAAGTGGTTATAACAGCATTTGTTTCCTCTCTTTCTTCTTAGTAAAAAACAGCCTCAATCTTCACTCTTCATATGGAAGTAAACCATAGATCTATTATTATTCTGTACAGTGGCTAGTTTATTTAAGTTTAAGGACTGATACTCTTTAATTATACTGCATTCAGATAGCAAAATATTTGCAGTTGAAGTTCTTTGTAAATTGAACATTAAGTGCTCTCTCTCTTCATTTATATATATTTTCTTTCTCTCTCTCTCTCTCTCTCCCCCCCCCACTGAGCTACATACCCCGTCTTTGCTTACTATATTTTTATTTTTCCCTGCTGATTTGGAGCACCCTAATTTTGTAATGTTAATGATTGTTTTGTAAGATTGACCAACCCTTGACCTACCTGAATCTGTTTCCAATGTAAAGTTCTCTAGAAAGTGCAAATTAAGTAGAACACCTTCTTGAGCCTATAAGAATGCAGAAGATTGACTAAAAGATGAAAATATGTCTCTAAATTAATATATTTCAAATGGAGGTGTATGCAGGGTATTCTCTAATTGGTAATTGTACTATAAAGTTTCAGAGAAAATTCTTTGAAGGTCTATGGTGAATTATTGGTTGTGGTTCTAAGTCTCTTTATAGGTGATAGCAACATATTTTAGTTTGTATTTGCTGTTTACTATCCCTCCAAGCCTTGCCATATATGTCTCCTTAGTTTCCTCTGAATGTGTTCATTTCCATTTCTGTTTAATTCTATTTCCTCTCTTTAACAATCTGAATAATTACCCCTTGGGTACCCCAGACCAAGACTTTTTCTCCAGTGAAACGTACTGAACACCCTTTAGTTTCCCTTCTCACTGGCTTTATATGTATCAATCATATGCTGATTTGTCATAGTTTATTTAGTTTCATATTTATTCAGATTAACAAATGTCTCCTGAGTGTTTGTTGCAATGATGTGTGAACTTAGTGAGGTAGAGAACATACTTTGGTCAGGATTTCCAGAGGAAGTGATCCTGGACCTGAAGCTTAAAGAGCAACTAAGAGTTTCCCATGTGTGGAAGGAGTATAAGGATATATTAGCAAAGGGAACAGCTTGAGAATATAGAAGACTGACAGTTCAAAATGACTGTGGTATGATGAAGTGGGAGATAGAAAATGAAACTGAGGAGAGAGTTACAAACTCATTCTTGGACATTTATTCTATAAATGAACTTGGACTTTATTCTGTAAGTGATAGGTTGCCTTTGAAGGTTTTGACATATGAGGGTTTGACACTTGATACAGCAGAATTTTCATGTTTAAGCCAGTCATTCTGAAAGCAGTATAGTAAATAAATTTGAGGTAGGATAAGAGTAGTGAAGGTGTGTTAGTCAGCTTAGTCAGCTTTCATCACTGTGACAAAATACCTGAGAAAATAAACTTAAAGGAATAAAGATTTATTTTGGCTCACAATTTCAGAGGTTCACTTGTAGATTGGCTGGCTCCATTGCTGTGGATCTGGGTGAGGCAGAGCATCATGGTAAGAGAGGGCATGTTATAGCAGAACTGCTTACCTCATGGCCACTGGGAAGCAAAAAGAGAGGAAGAGACTGGTGAGAAAATATTCCTTTCAAAGGGGAATCCGTAAATCCTTCAAGTGGGCCCTGCCTCCTACACTTTCCACCACCTCCCAATAATTATGAATCCTTCAATGAAGTAATCCACTGATGAGGTTAGAGCCCTCATGATCTACTCACCTTCCCTAGGCCCCACCTCTGAACGCTAGTGCATTGGGGAACATGCCTTCAATACAGAGCCTCTGGTGGACATTCTAGATCCAAACTATAACAGATGAGAAGATGAGTTAAATTGCTGGTTTGGTTGTATTGAGAGATAATAACCAGGTTTGGATACTCTATTTAATAGAGATGGAGTTGAGGAAGTAGACTGGGAAAGTGTTAAAATAGAAGGCAATACATATTGAAGATGATTGGCAAAATGTGAGATGATTGTCAAAGTTTGGACTTGCGTGGGCAAGTGGCTGCAGTGCTGCTAGTTAAGAGTAATAAATGTGAGCAGCTCAGTTATTGCCTATGGTTTCTTCAAATAGAAACATCTGCCAAACAAGTGGATATAGGGTCTAAGGCTCATATGAAGGGTCAGGATTGGGGTTATGCATTTGAGGGTTCTTCCAGTACTGATGGGAGCACAGACTATGTGGGTGGAATATGAAGTAGGCAAAACACTGAACCCTAAAAAGAAAAGGAAAAAGAGGAACCTAAGAAGGAACTGAGAAGAAAAAGCTCCACGTCTTTAACTAATTACTTGTCAAAGGAGAACCAACTTTATCCTTTTTATATGATTAATAATATCTTGATAATATGATTGAATAATTTTAAGAAATAGATATGCAATAAGTGCCTAAGTTGGGCATTTATTTTGTTTAGCCAGAAAACATTTCATTTAGAGATTTTATTTCAATTTCCTTAATTCCATAACTCGATTAGAATTATTTTTTATTCATATAATTTCTTGAGCACTTACTATGCACTAGGCAGTATGTTAAATACTTTATTAATGCTATCTCATTTTATTCTTAAAATAATCCTGCATGTATAGGTTTTATTGTTTTCATTTGTATTTGAAGAACTTGAGGATAAGAAAGATTAAGTGACTTGATCAACTTTTCCCCACATCTGTGTAATCCCAAAATTCATTCTCTTAACCACTGATGACCCATTTGTTTAGACAGTGCAAAAATAAAAAAAATCCAAACCAAAATGAAACATTTTAAAGTCTAATATTCTGGTTCTATTGTGAAAATTACTCTGACTCCAAAGCACTGAATTATACTGAATTCTATATGGTCAGTCTCTTGTGGATTAAAGGGTATTTAGATACATCTCTGTTCTTGCATACAGTGAGACCTTACTAATTGTTTTCATCTTTCTGGATCACTCTTTCTTTATTTTTGTATCAGCAGTTTGTAATACATGATTCCTAAGTTGCTTGTCTCTAAAATCCTTTTAAGTTCATACATTTAAAAAAAACTAAACAACACAGGTTACTAACAGGTTTTAGAGATCCACAGGGTACATGACTAGGTTTCATGACTCCATTAATATTAAATGAAAACCATGATGCATGTACTGCATTTTTCTGGGGATGCAATTCAGTTTTTTTTTTTGATTCCTGTAGTTTGATATAATTCACCACTCACTCTCCATCTAAAATGTTGAGAAATATGGGTCCATAAATTAATAAATACTAATTTATTACGGCACTTCATGCAATCCCTGGATAGTTAAGTCATCTTTAACAGAGGTATTGTTGTATTGTTATTCTTTTTTAAAAAAAACTTTTTTAGTGGTAGATGGACACAATGCCTTTATTATATTATTATTATTATTATTATTATTATTATTATTATTATTAGGTGCTGAGGTTTGAACCTAGTGCCTCATGCATGCTAGGCAAGTGCTGTACCACTGAGCTACAACCCCAGCTCAATTTTGTTATTCTTTAAAAGTATATGTTTGTGGCACTGTAGATTAACCCAGGACCTGGCACATGGTGGGCAAGCACAGTACCACTGAACTGCATTTATAGCACTGAAAGCAATTTTTTGAAGTAAAGAACAAATTTATTTGTTATTAAAGGAAATGGTTACTTTTTGGCTACTTAAACCTATAGTGTTTTCTGTTAACCAACCAAAACACGTATTGGTTATTTTATTGATTAAAAACAAAATCTATTAAATAGAATGAAAGTCTGATTCTATCTTATGATGAATTAAAAATGCTCAGCTTTAAGAGTGATTCAGTGTCCTTCACTATATATATTCCCCACTTTGCATCTTTCTACAGGAAAAGAATATTTGAGGTTCATTCATAAAGAAAGAAAAGAAAGCAAGGACATAATGCGTAGAATTGGAGCCAGTTAAACTAGGTTTGTATATTTTCTTTCCATAATAACATTGTTTATTTTACACTTGAATCCCTTTCTATCAATTGCTTGAATTATACTAGTAGCAAATCTTCTCATTTTGAACCTTGCCATAGTAGTATGGAAGATAAAGAATACATGCCGTTTCGAAGTATTTGCACTGCAACTGTGAATTTGAAAGACAGAATGATGAAAAATCTAAATAATATTCTCATTTTAAGATGAGAAGCTTTAAGTTCAAAAGCTTGAAGACAAGAGACTGGAGTTGTGGTTCAGTGGTAGAATGCTTCCCTAGCACATGTGAGGCACTGGGTTTGATCCTTAGCACTATATAAAAAGATAATTATATAAAATGAAGGTTTTGTGTCCATCTACAACTAAATAAAATAAAATAAAAAGCTTGTAAACAGTCCAACTGGGATTCAGTCTCAGATACGTTGAGTCAAAACCACATTTATTTTCTAGTTATATATCAAAGTCCTTTGTTTTATTTAGGTTTAGTTTGTTTTACAACTACTGATTACTTATATGTATTTCCCTTAAGGAAACTTTCTAAGAAACTAAAAAGAGGGAAAAGCATTCCCTATTCTCCTAAAGTTTAGAAGAAGAGAAAGGAACTAACATTTATAAGCACTTATTATGTGCCAGACACTATCGTTAAAGCCTTAACTGAGGTAACTCCATTTAATTCACAATAGCCAGGTGATGTACTTGTTGCTATCCTTCATCTTTAAAATAGAGAAGTGAGTGAATTGCCCAAGATCACATAGCTTGTTAGTAACAAAAGGAGAATTAAAAGTCCTTTTTGAGAAAGATTTTATAGGGTTTCCATCATGCCTATTAACTTAAAATTTCATATCACACAAACCAAACAAATAGCGGAACTGTTCAGTCTGAGCATGCTTGGCTGTTAATGTCATTTGTAAACATTCTAGCTTTGTGTGTGTGTGTGTGTGTGTGTGTGTGTGTGGTGCTGGGGATTGATCATTTGTAAACATTCTTAATTTGACAATTAGTAGTTGAATCACCTCACCAAAATAGTTACATACTTTTTCTTAATAAGCTTTCCAATGTAACCAGTCGTTAAAGCTACATGATCCTATGAAGAGAGATTTAAAATTCACAAAATAGTGTGACAGACATAGCAACAGATGAGAGAAAGGACTTTGAGGTGTGGGAATCAGATCTAAATCCTTTTGTCTCCCTGCTTCCTCACTGATCTGTGTGCCCTATAGGTCTCTTACCTTGCATTCGTACACATTTTGTAACTGAGGAGGTTAATTGTTCCTTTAATCTCTTAACAATTATTAATCTATCGTATTTTAATTTTTTTCTTTTTTCCATTTTTTTGTTGGTGTACTATGATTGTACATATTAGTGGGATTCATTGTTACATACTCAAAAAGTACACACCTATCATTTTATATACTTCAAATATAAATCTCAAATAATTTTTAGAGATATATCTATAGAGATGTCTTAATTGAACACTTCTGTATGAGGGAAGTGAGATCATCATGTTTGTATAGTACTTTAAACATTTCAAAGGTTTCTCACATTTATTAATCTTTTACAAAGCCTCACCACTCTCTGGTGGGTTAAATATTATCATTTTCATTGTCCAAATGACCAAATTGAATTGGCTCAGGGTCCCATTGCAGGACCTAATTGAGTGAATCTGTAACCCTCAAACTAAAGTTTACCAAGTTTTCTTGTTTTAAAGGACTAATCACACCTTTGTGATGTAGTTCTATTGTGTGAGAAAATGAGAGTACAGTGCTTCATAAAAGAAATCTAAGTAGGAGAAATAAACGTTTTCTTCTGTGAAAGTTGTAATGACTACACCAGAAGAAATAGCAGAAACAAACATGTAAGGAAAGGGTAGAAACTTAGGTCTATGTGTTAATTTAATGTTTGTTTTCATTTATTCCTGGATTACGAATAAGCATAATTGACTTCTTTTTAATAACTTTATTTTATTTATTTATTTTTGTGTGGTGTTGAGGATCAAACCAGTCCCTCATAAGTGCCAGGCAAGTGAGCCCACCACCCCAGCCCATAATTGACTTTTTTCTTTTTCTTTTTTTTTTTTTTTGCGGGGCAGGGTACAGGGGTTGAACTTAGGGGCACTTGACCACCAAGCCATAACCCCAGCCCTGTTTTGTATTTTGTTTAGAGACAGGGTCTCAATGAGTTGCTTAGTGCCTCACTTTTGCAGAGGCTGGCTTTAAATTCACAATCCTCCTGCCTCAGCCTCCTGAGCCGCTGGAATTACAGGCATATACCATGGCTCCTGGCCCATAATTGACTTTTAATATCCTTGTATTAATCAGTAGTGTACTATTTGGGTTGCTTTAGCCTTAGCAAAATATTCAAGGAGATCATACTTTATAATGAGATATTTTTAAATTATAGTTGAGCTAAGGAGAACTTAAAACAGTTAATTCAAAAGGAAGCCAAAAAAACAAACAAGTAAATAAATAAGTATGAGAAATTAAACTTCACACAAAATTATATGTTTCATTGCCTTTATTGATATGAATTTTCCTTATATTTCTACTCCAATTGTGGAGATATTACTTAGAAACAGTATTTGTCTCCATGCCCTTGATCTTACTGGGCAGAACAAGTTACTTAAACTTGCTTACTTTCTGTAAATAATATTTTTTTTTTCAATTAGAAAGAAAATTATCTTAAAATTGGTATGTGGACATAAGCAGTTTTTCTTTTACAGTTTTGATACCCAGGTTTTCTTTTCTTTAAAAAGAATTGATTTTCTAGATTATGTGGTATTATGGTGCATTCTCTGCAAATACAAAAAATTGATCATTGAAAGAATCTCTACTTTTATTCTGTATTAAGTTTTTTTAAGATGATAAGCTAAAAATATTCTATAGCACTAAAAAATGAAAGGAGGCTTTCCAAAAATGGTTCTAATCAAATAAGGAAAACAGGATAGAGTTGTAGAAAAAAATTTGAAAGCAACATTATAAGATTTGACTTAAAATAGAGAAGAAAAATGTATTATGTCCTTCCAAAATACATTTTTCTTTTTTTTTTAATTTTTATTATTGGTTGTTCAAAACATTACATAGTTCTTGACATATCATATTTCATACATTTGATTCAATGGGTTATGAACTCCCATTTTTACCTTGTATACAGATTGCAGAATCAAGTACATTTTTCTTAAGAATCATTTTTGAGATTCTTTTGCCCAACTTTCCACATGCTCTGTCCTACAGAGCTCAGTCTCCCTTCCTACTCCCATTCTCATGCCATCACAGATCCTTAGAATTCAGGAAAATTATGTTTGATGCAGACTTGTATAGAGCTGTTATAAGTTCTCAGCTTTTCATTTGACCTCAAAACATGTACAAGGGTTTTACTTTTCAGCCATTGCTTTATGGTACTTTAAAGTAAAAAATGAAAAGGCCACTACACAGCAGTTAGTTTTTAGTTTTTGTTTTGTAACAGTTTAAACAGTTCATTATATTAAATCTGTTGTAAATATGATTATGTTTTGCTTCCCCAGATTCTGTAGCCAGTTTTAAGAACTACTGTTAGCTTCTCAGTGGCCAGCTGTGATTTAGTGATCTTAATAAAGTTGTAACTTTTAGCAGAGGGCTTAGAGCTTTTAAAGATGACTGGACTTTTTTTTGTAATTTGTGTTTTTCTTGTTTGGCTTGGGTATTAAAGAATTCTTCATTAGAGTCAGCTGCAAGCTTGCCAGGTTTGTAGGCTGATGTCTCATTAATATTAAAACATTCCCTTGGTACATGTGTGCCATGTGCGTACCCTGTGATTCAGAAGGCATGATTTTAACACATAAAGTCTTTTAATTTCTTTAACTATTCATTTCTATAAAGAAATTGCTGAAATATTTAACTTTTGTTTTCATCTTATTGGCAAACCTGCTAGCATTAAACAGGGCTTTACCTGGAGATTGACTGATTTAGTATTGTCATGGGTTTATTTCTCTGTATGTAGTATGGTTTCTGTGCTAGCGTACCTTCTAAAAGTGATTTCAATGCCTAGTAAGATGTATGGACGTTTGAGGAGCTATCAGATCCTTTTTGATGTTAGGTTCAATCTCAGGTTGGGAATAAAGGAAATATGGAATGTTGACTTCTGTGTATATAGGTGTGTGCATGTTTTTGTATGATCTAAACATCCAGGAAATGAAATGAACTTATTTGATTTACAGCTTCCTTCCAGAAAAGGTTAAAGTTTAACATGGAGATGGAGTTATAGGGAAATCTTGATTAGTTTTCCTCTTTCAAATGTAGCACTACTTAACAATGAAATGATTTAATGTTGCTCAGGACTGCATTCTGTATCTTGGTATTATATTTGAAAGAATAAAATAAGTTGATTCATATTTTCAAAAATAGAAATGTGACATTAAAGGAAAATTATAGGATCTGTGGCTTACATTTTTAAGATAAGTACATTAGTATTTGACCCATTTATTAAATCTGTCAAAGAAAATAGTGTCAAACAAGTATAAATTTTCAAAATATTAATTAAATATTTTGTTAGCACATGTATACATATATGTGTGTGCATGTCACCTTTATTTTTCTTATTTTTTGAGGTGAGAAGACTGGATAAATTTTGCAAGTATTCAAAAATTATCCTGCTGGATGACATTGGGAATATTATTGAAATAATTATTTGCTTCAATCCTTAAATCTATCTCCAAAAAATAAAAACAAACAATAACAAAATACAAAGGCAATTAATCTCTTTTTTTTTTTGAAAATGTAATGAATTTGCCCTTAAAATTGTGTGAACAGTCTTACTAGCATTGCTTGTTTTTACATATAACCAGAACATTTTCATGTAAGATTTGATAGTTCAAAATGTTGTTAGTCTGCAAATCTTCTGTAGGAATAGTGAAAGATTGCAAAAGAATTATGGACTTTAGATTGTCTGATTTGATTGTATTGAGTGAATTTAGTAAAAATTACTTATTTTCTCATCTCCAGTAATGTAAATATCTCATGTCTTATAAAATTAATAATCACCTGCATCATTTTGCTAGCAGGAATGCTGTTTCACAGACTTTTTTTTAAAATAGCAAACTATAGAGAAAATCTGATATTATAAAGGGAGTAGAAAAAACCATACACTGTCTACAGTGTGAGCTTTGATTATTTCAAAGAGGAGAGACTGCTTTCCAAATATCATCTATTCAAAGTTAGTAAGGTCAGCTGTTCAGAGCCCTTAAAGAAATGACATAAAACCAGTGACAGAGAATATTGGAAGTCAGTCTTACTGCCTGCAGCCAAGTTTATAAAACCCACTTGAGTGCATAGAAATGTATTGTTTATTTTTGAGATAAAAATTCAACAGACATGTGGAAGATAAATAGATTTTAGAATAAGAAGAGCCTTCAGAAATCATTTGATAATCCCCTTTCATTTCACAAAGAGAAATCAGGGGTGAAAAGTTAATTTACTGGGCTGAGGATGTGGCTCAAACGGTAGCGCGCTCGCCTGGCATGCGTGCGGCCCAGGTTCCATCCTCAGCACCACATACAAACAAAGATGTTGTGTCTGCCGAGAACTAAAAAATAAATAAATATTAAAATTCTCTCTCTCTTTAAAAAAAAAGTTAATTTACTTATTTGGCATCATATAGACAGTGACAACAGTAAGACTAAAAATTCTTCACTTTTATTTTAAATAATTAATTGAAATTAAAACTTAAAGAATTGTGATGAAAATTATTTTTATTATTGCTATTAATATTTTAAATTTACATATAGTAAAGTTGACTCTTTAAAAATAAGTTTGTTAGCCAAGTTTGGTGACCATGCCTGTAATCCCAGTGACTCAAGCGGCTGAGGGAGGAAGATTGCAAGTTGAAGGGCAGACTCAGCAACTTACTGAAGACCCTGTCTCAGATAAAAAATAAAAAGGGCTGGGGATATGGCTTACCTCTAGGTTCAATCTCCAGTACCAAAGTAATACAGTACCAAAGAAGAAGAAGAAGAAGAAGTAGTAGTAGTAGTAGGAAGAAGAAGAAGAAGTAGTAGTAGTAGTAGTAGGAGTAATAGTAGTTGTAGTAGTAGTAATAATAATAATAATAATAAGAGGAAGAAGAAGAAGAAGTAGTAGTAGTAGTAGTAGTAGTAGTAGTAGTAGTAGTAGTAGTAGTTCTGTGAACTAATGCATGCACAGATTCATGTAACTACCACCCCAAACAAGAGACAAATAGTCCCATTGCCCCAGAAAACTCCTTCAGGCTTTTCCTTTTTTGGTTAAAAACCTCTTCCTAAACCTCACCCCTAGATAACTACTGATCTGTATGCCATCACTAAGATTTTACCTACTCCAGAATATTGCATAAGTGGAAGTATTTAGTATGTACTCTTTTGAGTATAGAGTGTAACTTCTCTCAAGTGAACATTTTTGAGATTCATCCAGGTTTTGTGTAGCATTGATACATTATTTTAATTGGTGAGTAGCATTTCATTGTATCACAATTTTATTATTTACTGGTTAATGAACATTTGGTTGTTGCTAGTTTGTTTTAAAGATTTTTTTTTTTTTAAAGAGCACAGCAAAATTAAGAGAAAGGTACAGAGATATCCCTGTCCTTACAAGTATATAGCTTCCCCCATTATTAACATCCCCCACCAGAGTGGTATATTTGTTATAATTGATAAAGCTACATCGAGACATTACAATCTCCCAAAGTCCATAGTTTACATTAGGATTTAGTCCTGGTGGGTTTGGACAAATGCATAATGGTATGTATGTATCATTAGAGTATCATGTAGAATATGTTCACTGTCCTAAAAATCCTGTGTTCTTCCTATTCTTTCCTTCTCTCTTCAATTTCTGGTAATCCGCTAGTCTTTTTTTACTGTTTCCATATTTTTGCCTTCTCCGGAATGTCATACAGTTGGAATCATAATATGTAGTCTATTTAGTTTGACTTCTTGTTTGCAGATTTTAGCTATTATGGATAAAAACATTAAAATTCTTTTTAGAGAAAATGAAAAAACTTACAGATAGCATAGAGACCTGATAGAATGTTCCTAAAGAATTCACAAAGTTAAGTTACTTCTTAAACTTTTTATTTTAAGATAATTATAAATTCACGGGAAGAAGCAAGCATACTTCAATGAAATCCATTCACTCAATTTCTTTTATTGTTTTCAGTTTATGTAGCTATAGAACAATATCAAAACCAGGAAACTGATATTGATGTAAAGAGAGTATATAGTTCTTTGGTATTTTATTATATTAGATCCATGTAACCAATCCTGTAATTATGTTACAGAATTATTCTGCACTGTAATATTATCTCATATGCTGCTGGGAATTAAAACCAAGGATGCTCTACTACTGAGTTATATCCCTAGACCTTTTTGTCTTTTATTTTGAGACAGGGTCTCACAAAGTTCCTGAGGCTAGCTTCAAACTTATGATCCTCTTGCCTTAGCCTCCCAAGTAACTGGTATTACAGGCCTGTGACATCTCACTGGCAAGCTACCTCTCTTTTTATAGTAATGCCCCCTCTCCAACCCTATCCACAGAGATACTTTCCAGGACCCCTAGTGGATGCCTAAAACTGAGGAAAGTACTAAACTTGAGTAATATCATATTTTGTTCTTATTGTAGATTGTAGCAACCTCAGTAAATGACTTTTTCCCCCTTTTCTTTATGAAACTGAGACTTATTCCCTTTTCACTTGAGGAAAGCAGTTTGCAGCTACTCTGTGGTATATATCTGGATTGCTAGCATCACTACTATTTCCTGTCTCTTCTTTATCCTGTTTGTTGGTGATTTCTATCTTCCCTTATTCAGTCTAGCTAGAAATTTATCAGTTTTAGTAATGTTTTTTCAAAAACCAGTTCTTGCTTTCATTGATTTTTCTCTGTTTTTCAGTGTCTATTTTATTGATTTCTCTTCTTTGTTATTTTGTTACTTTCTCTTGTTTTGGCTTAATTTACTTCCCTCTCCCAGCTTTGTATGCTAGAAGCTTAGATAATTGCTTTTAGGCCCTTTATTCCCTAATAAAAACAGAAAACTCTAAATGTTCTCAAAGCACCTTTTTAACATCATCTTACAAATTTGGTATGTTGCTTTTTAAAATATTCTTTGTACATTATTTTAGAAGTATATTGCTTGATTTCTTAATCGGGAACTTTTCAATATCTAATTCCATTGTGAAAGAAGAATCACTGTATATAGTTCCAATTCTTTTAATTTGTAAAGACTCATTCCTGATTCAGTAGATTGTTTGTCTTGAACAATGTTTCATGGGCATTGAAAAAATTTATACTTTGCCACTGTGGATTGGAGTGCTCTATAAATCTCAATTCAACAGATCAGATCTTATTTATCTGCACTTTTGGTATATCTGTTCTTTCAATTACTGAGAGAAGAATGTCAATATCTCCAACTGTAATTGTGTCTGTTTCTCCCATCATTTCTATCAGTTTTTGCTTCATGTTTTTTGTACATATGATGTTGTATCCATACATATTTAGAATTGTTCCATCTGCAGAATGAATTAATCTCCTGGTCATTACCACATGTCTTTTATTCTGTCTGATAATATTCTTTGCTTTGTATTCTACCTTACCTAATATAAATGCAGCTTTTCCAACTTTCTTAATATTTTAGTTTGATATCCTCTATTAACCTATTTCCTTATTTTTAGTGTACAATTCTTATATTTGGGTGCAGCATGTATTTGAGTCTTGCTTACTTATATGTCATATTCATATATATATATATATATATATGTACATATAGTTTATATATATATATGTGTGTGTGTGTGTGTGTGTATAAATAAAACTTTTTTTCTCTTGCAGTAAGAATATAAGTTAAGTAATGAGAGGCAAGAAAGAAAGGACAATCATCTTGGAAAGATCACAAGCACTTTGAAATTTTGAAGGAATGTAATACTAGCTGCTAAAATCACCAGAATGGATGAAGTTCTTCAAATTTAAATGGTAACCATAATTCTTCTATTATGTTATGTTTCTACTAAGAACTTTAGATGGCTTGAAAAGATTTCTTTTTAAGTTTAAATGTTTGTCTTACAAATGCCAAACAGTGGATAAAGCTGACTGTTTTATAACTTAATATTATCAGGCTTTATTTTGGTCCTTAATGTTTGTTCAAAAGATTTGTTTTTCTCCCAGTTTCACTTAAACTTACCTGGGAATTAATATAGCATATATTAGTACATTTGTAAGTGCATTTTTCACCAAATGTTTTTCCTTTTGTAGAAATAAACTAAACAATATAAGTAGTAGTTATTTTTACATATTTAAAAAAAGTTATTTGATCTTTTCTGAGTTTATTTCATGTTGTTTTTAGTTTCCCTATGTTGGCACATGGTTTCATTTTCTCCTTTCATATCTGACATCTTATTTTTATTTCATCTTTATTTTCTCCTTTCTACCTTAAAAAAGAAAAAAAAAATAGGCCTGTTGGAATTGAATTACAAAAGGCATAAGGATCAAGAATAGGAAAAGGAGAGAGAAATTTGAAAAGATTATAAAATTTTTCTTCTAATAAATTGCATGGACTGTTAGATTTCAAGTACAGTGAAAAGCAATTATTTACAAATTTACAAAATCCCAAAAAAGAACTATGTGATTTTCCTACCTGTAATAATTCAGAAGTCATATAACAGATCCATGAGGTACATAGAATACTTCTATATTTACATATTATTTTTCTGGCCCCATTTAAGCTGAGTGTCTCCAGAATCCCAAATCCTTGCCTTTGAAGAGGGAATGGCACGGTGGCGCGCACTTTATAATCCCAGTGGCTTGGGAGCCTGAGATAGGAAGATCGCTAGTTCAAAGTCAACCTCAGCAATAGCAAAGCGCTGAGCAACTCAGTGAAATTTTGTCTCTGAATAAAATACACAAATAGGGCTGGAGATGTGACTCAGTAGTTGAGTGCCCCTGAATTCAATCCCTGGAACCAGGAAAAAAAAATTTAAAAGAGGGTATGGAATGAGATTTTAATTGTGTAATTCACAGAATTTCTAACTTGCACAACTAGAAACTTATATTTTCAATTGCAGACGCTATCATGGCCAATGTGAAGAAGTTAAAATTTAAAGGATGACATTTTAGCTAGGTAACACTAAGGTTGAGTCAAACACCTAATTTTATTTAAGTTCATTTCATTAGCTGTAATCTATGGCCCTTGTGAATCTGAGCATGTTTTTGCAAGCAAAAAGACCACTCTGAACAATTTGATATCTCTCTGGAAGCTTAAACTCATAAAGTTTTATAGAGCTTTTAAAGCATTCTTTACAATACCTTAATGTAGGAAAACTGTACTTATGCAGGGAAGCCTATGTGTAGTTTTCTCAAACAAAGCTGAATTTAAAATAATGGTAATTAATCTGTATTGAATGGTAATAGCCATATGCCTAGCACTGAGATTAGCTTTTAATATGCTGCCTTAGTCTATTTGGGCGGCTATAATAAAAATACTTTAAGTTGGATGGTTTACAAACTACAGAAGTTTATTTCTCACAGTTCTGGAGCCTGGTAAGTCCAAGATCAAGGCATTGTTGGAGTTAGTGTTTGGTGATAGCCTGCTTCCTGACTCATAAATGGAGTCTTTTTTCCATGTCCTTACATGGCAGAAAGGGCAAATGAGGTTTCTGGAGTTTCTTTAATAAAGGCCCCAATCCCATTAATGAAGCATTTATCTCTGTGACCAAACAACCTACCAAAGACTTCACTCCCAAATACCAACACATTATCAACATAGGAATTGGAGGGTGGGGCTTAAACATTCATTTTATTGCATTTGCATTATCCTTATGTCTCACAATTCTGTTTGACATAGGTCTTATTATTTTAAAAAATCCGTTTAACATATGAGGGAACTCATTCTCAAAGAAGCTAAGTAATTGCTTAATATCAAGTGACTAGTTAGAGGTGGAGCTAGATCTGTCTGACTGCAAAGCCTAAGCTCTTAAGCAGGAATTTGTTGTTGTTTATGAAGACTTAAACAGAACCTGTTGAAATTATTTCTTCTTTATTTAGTGGCAAATAAGGACAAGGTATTTTTCTTAGCAATATCCTTGTTGTAACTCTAAAATTATGCTCCCTCAAGATGTATGTTTCTTCTGCAGCATCAATTTTGTTTCTTTAATAATTTGATTGTTTTATGTTCTTAATGTATTAGCTATTGTATTATATAAAAGGAAAGATATAGTCATGGAACTTTAATTTGGCTGCTTAAAAAGATAACTTAATCTACCACTATATAAAGTTGAATTACTTGAAGATGAAAATGGTAGTCCCCACATTTTACTTGAGATAAAGACACAGGAAAAAGAGAAGAATAGGATATGAGTGGGGGGAAAAAAATCAAAACGGAGCTTTACACTCATCTGTCTTCCCTTGAAATCTTATTTACCTTTTTCCTTTCTCTTTATTCCTCAAAAGATTTTCAGTGCTTTTCAATTTCAGAAGGCTATACTACCATTAAAAACTAAAATGGTAGTGAATTCAGAGACCAGTTAATCCTAATGGTATAAGTTTTATGTTCAATTTATGTATAATTCCTTTCAAATAGGTACTTATTATTCTGTTAATTGTAGAAAACTAAATATAGTAAAAACTCCACCAAGATTCAACATAGTAAAAGTATATCTTGATATACCAGTTTAACTCAATTCCTTAACTCCCAGCAAGACTTTTTGTAGACAAGTATATCAGTGATATATATATATATATATATATATATATATATATATATATATATATATATAAAATTATATTTATATACTTATGATGATACATATATAATCTAAAATGTATATAGAAGGCAAGAGATTTCAAATCACTAATTTTGAAAGAGTAGAATAACATAGAATCACTTTACCTACTTATAGGACATAATGTAGTCTTAGTAAAAAAGATTGGTATTGTCAGTGGAACAGACATATAAATTAATGGATCAGAATAGATAACCCAGAAATAGCCCCACACAAATATAAGCAGCTGATTTGGTTTTACAAATGTATAAAGGCAATTCAGAGGAGCCTATCTATTCAACAAATGGTTCAGAAAAAATCAGATACTAATAGGCAAACAAAAAACCTCAAGGTAAGTTTCATACCTTATATACAAATTAACTTAAAATGGATTGTAGAATTATATGGAAAATGTAAAAGAAACCAAGAAAAAGTCTTTAGGACCTTGGGCTTGGTGAAGAATAATTAGATATAATACAAAAGCACAATCTATAAGTGTTAGTCAGCTTTCCGTTAATACAAAATACCAGAGATAATCAAATGAAAAAGAGGGAAGTTTTATGTTGGCTCACAAGTTTGGGAGATTTCAGTCTGTGGTCACTTGGCCCTGTTGCTTTTGGGCCTGTCAAGGCAATAAGTCATGATGGGGAGTAATGTGATGAAGCAAGCTGCTCACTTCAGTGGGACCAGGAAGCAAAAGACAGAGACAAAGAGGAGGTACCTAAATCACACAGTCCTCTTATTGGGCACACCTCCAATGACTTAAGATTTCCCACTAGATCCTACTTCTTAAAGTTTTGACTACCTTCCAATAATGCCAAGCTGAGAACTAAACCTTAACACATGGGTCTTTGGAGAACATTTAAGATCTAAACCATAACACTGTAAAAAGAAAAAGAAAAAAGTAAGCTAGACTTCATGAAAATTAAAACTTTTGTTTTGCAAAAACAAACAAACAAACAAAAAACCTGTTAAGCGTGGTTCTGGGAAGATGGCAGAGTAGAAAGAACCAGGAATCTGACTCAAGTGTAGGCAATAATTGTACTAGCAAAATCTAAGTAACTGTTTTGGAACTCTCAAGCATATTAAAGGCTTACAACTTTCAGGGGGAACCTTGGAAGGTAAATTATGGGTGATTTTGGCCAATTTCAGCTCTTGTAACAGTAGCAGCTATCCACCCTCCACCAACCCCCCAGCCCAGTGGCAGGTAACCAGGCATGTGTTCCCCGAGCAGCTTACACACAGCTTCCAGAGTGGGCCAAAGTAACCCTCTGCTCTACATACCAAGAATCTAATCACCTAACGATGGTCTCATAACAGAGATCTAGAAAAAGAAGTGCAGATACCTCTTCCCATTGTTTCAAGTCCCCTATCTTTACCTCCATCTGAAGGACTTTGAAGTAAAGGACCCATAGACTTTTTTCTCCCTTTTATTTCTCTCTCTTTCCCCTTTGTGATCCAAACATTAAACACTAAGACATGTAAATCAAGTGGATTAAGTGCAGAAAGTTAGAAAGTAACCATGTATGTCCACAGGAAAGGTTCAGGCTTAGCACGATCTGACATTTACACTTCAGACTGTTATTTGCCATAAATATTGTCTACAATTAAAAAGCAAACCTTGGAAAAGGGGGTTTCCAGAGAGACCAATTGTATTAGTCAGTTTTCCAAATTGACTAATTTCAAATACTTGACAAAGGGTACTCATTAACTCAAGAGAGGTTTATTTTTGCTCATTGTTCTGGAGATTCAAGTCCAAGATCAGGAAGCACATCAGTGGTGGAAGTGAGTGTCAGGGTGAGCAGTCACATCTGTTTTTCCTTCCTTTTTTCCATATTTTTAATTGGTATAAATTTACGTAACAGTGTGATTCATTATTAAATAGTTATACATGCATATAACAATTGCAGTCACATTTTGAGACGGGAAGCAGAGAGAGACCCAGATCTACAGTCCTCTTTGAGGACATTCTCATAGTAACTTAAGCACCTCCCACTAGGTTCTACCACTTAAAAGGTTCACAGGACTTTCCAGTACTGCCACTGTGGAATCAAACTTTTACATATAGACCTTTGGGAGGTACTCATTCAAACCATAGCATTCTGCCCATGACCTCCATTCTCATAGTGAAAAGTTTATTCACTCTATTCCCAGACTCCCAGAGTTAACTGTTGCAGCATTGCACTAAAGTCCAAGTACAAAGTCTCTTTCAAACTG